GGTAAATTTCACATCAGTCCCTAACCCTCAAGGGGCGTACTAAGAGCCCTAACTTACGTTCATACATACAGTCATGGCCGAAATTGTTGGCACCCTTGATATTTTTCCTGAAAATCAAGTATTTCACACAAAAAAAGGTATTGCATTAACACATGTTTTGCTATACACATGTTTATTCCCTTTGTATGTATTGGAACAAATATAAAACAGAGGCAGAAAAGCAAATATGACATAATGTCACACAAAAACCCCCAAAATGGGCTGGACAAAAGTATTGGCACCCTTAACTTAATATTGGTTGCACACCCTTTGGAAAACATAACTGAAATCAGTCGCTTCCTATAACCATCAATAAGCTTCTGACACCTCTCTCCCCCGGAATTTTGGACCACTCTTCCTTGCAAACAGCTCCAGGTCTCTCTTATTGGAAGGACAAAATACCTTTTCCCAACAGCAATTTTAAGATCTCTCCACAGGTGTTCAATGGGATTAGATCTGGGCTCATTGCTGGCCACTTCAGAACTCTCCAGCGCTTCTTTGCCATCCATTTTCTGAGTGCTTTTTGACGTATGTTTGGGTCATTGTCCTGCTGGAAGACCCAGGATCTTGGACGCAAACCCAGCTTTCTGACACTGGGCCCTACAGTGCGACCCAAAATCCTTTGGTAATCCTCAGATTTCATGATGCCTTGCACACAGTCAAGGCACCCAGTTGCCAGAGGCAGCAAAACAACCCCAAAACATCATTGAACCTCCACCATATTTTACCGTAGGTACTGTGTTTTGTTCTTTGTAGGCCTCATTCCGTTTTCGGTAAACAGTAGAATGATGTGCTTTACCGAAAAGCTCTATCTTGGTCTCATCTGTCCACAAGACGTTTTCCCCAGAAGGCTTTTGGCTTACTCAAGTACATTTTGGCAAACTGTAGTCTTGCTTTTTTATGTCTCTGTGTCAGCAGTGGGGTCCTCCTGGGTCTCCTGCCATAGCGTTTCATTTCATTTAAATGTCGACGGATAGTTCGCGCTGACACTGATGCTCCCTGAGCCTGCAGGACAGCTTGAATGTCTTTGGAACATGTTTGGGGCTGCTTATCCACCATCCGGGACTATTCTGCGTTGCAATCTTTCATCAATTTTTCCTCATCCGTCCACGACCAGGGAGATTAGCTACAGTGCCATGGGTTGCAAACTTCTTGATAATGTTGCGCACTGTGGACAAAGGCAAATCTAGTTCTCTGGAGATGGACTTGTAACCTTGAGATTGTTTGATATTTTGCCACAATTTTGGTTCTCAGGTCCTCAGACAGTTCTCGTCTCCTCTTTCTGTTGTCCATGCTTAGTGTGTGGCACAGACAGACACACAATGCAAAGGTTAAGTGAACGTCTCTCCTTTTTATCTGCTTTCAGGTGTGATTTCTTTTTGTTTTTAATATATGCCCACACCTGTTACTTGCCCCAGGTGAGTTTACAGGAGCATCACATGCTTGTAACATTCTTATTTATCCGCAGTTGTGAAAGGGTGCCAATACTTTTGTCCAGCCCATTTTTGGAGGTTTGTGTGACATTATGTCGAATTTGCTTTCTTTCCTCCCTTTTTTTGTTTTGTCCCAATACACACAAAGGGAATAAACATGTGTATAGCCAAAACATGTGTTAATGCAATACGTTTCGTGAGAAATACATGATTTCCTGGAGAAATATCAAGGGTGCCAACAATTTCGGCCATGACTGTATATTAGGGCCAATTTTGACAGATCCAATTAACCTACCAGCATGTCTTTAGAGTGTGGGAGAAAACCGGAGTACCCAGAGGAAACAGGCACAGGGAGAACATGCAACCTCCAGGCAGGAGGTGCCATGGCTGGGATTTGAACCAACGACCCGAGTACTGCCAGGTGGAAGTGATAACCATTTAGCCACTGTGCAACATACAATTAGAACATGAAATAATCCCCCCAAAAAATACATAGTACAAATGTTTATTGATCAAATACACATTCCACATTTATTTGGACAGCAACAAAAAGCTACATTCAATATCTTGGTGTGAAAAAAAAAAAAGCAGGATTGATGTTGCTAAAATAGAACGGCCCTGCTCATAAGAGCTTACAATCTAAAAGATTATACTTATAAGGAACTGTGCTTTCACAGGTTACAGCAGGAAACCAACGGTTAATATCACTTGGGCTTATTCACAGAAGCTGCAGATCGAAATATCAATATAAAAATACATACATGCCAAAATATAAACACTTCCCCCTCCCCAAATCCCCCACACATACATTTCTCACCATGTTTGTCTGAAAACTGCATTTCATTCTAAATAAAGCAAACTCAGAAGAGCAGAACAATTGACGTGTTAGGATTACAATGCAAAGATAATAAACACAATCATTGTACAATAACACACAAACACCTTAGAAGGAAGAACATGCAAAACATTTACAGCCCACATCAAAACACAGCGTGAGTGTGGCCTGGGGGCAATTCACTACAATATCTCTTCCTCCCCCAAACCACCACAGACAAGGACATGCAGAAATAATGTGCTTATACAATCCCCTCATGTTTTGCATTGTATTGGTATTGTTCTGTCACATGTTCTGTCCCCCTTTGTAATGTACAGCGCTGAGTGAACTATTGGCGCTTTATAAATACTGTATAATAATAATATACAAGGCAAAAATCAGCCCCAACTGCATCTAATTATATAAGGTAGGCCACACCCACCACTGTCACTCATTTGGTCAGAGAAAGTGTTTGCACCTGATCAATTATCTTCCCACCTGTGCTAACCCTTGGTATACAGGCCCCACAAATCAGAGTCAGAAAGAAAGCCACAGTGAAGTGTACCTGTACAGCATACAACAGAACATTGAACAGGGATGTGAAAGGGAACCCTATTGGCAATATTGCTTGGCCCTATGGGCACAATTCACTCCAGATTATCGCATGAGTTAAGGCAGTCACATGACCACATCTCGCATGCAATACTGAAAATGTCAATTCACTTTTGCTAGTATGCGGCATTTCCCATAAATCGGAAAAACACTCAGGAAATCAAACATAAAAAGGCCTTACACCGCGGTCACATCAAAGCCGATTTAGAAATTCTGCGACGTACAGTTTGCGATTTGCAAGACATCTGACACAGATATCTATGCAAATCGGCACAAAAGTAGTACATGTACTACTTTAGAAATCGGTGTCGGAAACGCACCCATGTGACTGCTCTAATAGCAGACAATAGGGTGCAACTTGGCATACAATTTGCAAGTCGCATGCCATGCAAATCGCATGCCAAGTCGCATCCAGGGTGCACGATTTCAGGTGCGATTTGGGAATTGAAATTGTACCTGATATCTGATCTAATGAATGTGGATGTGAGTGTCTTAACGTAAGCGACTTGCTGCAGCACAATTTCAAAAGTAGTTCTCGTCTAACTTTTTCAGCAGTTTGTAGCGATTTCACATATAGACTACAATAGAAATCGCAATGCAAAAACACACAATTGAAAACGCAATAGCTCATTGGTAAATCTACAGAAAACATGGTGAAATTGCCAACAAAAAGCACAATTTTAAATCACATCTAGTGTGAACCAAGCAGGCAATTCAACAAAGGAAATAAATCCAAGAAGGCATGCGGTATCTGCATGCTCAGATAAGGGTCTTATCATGGATTTGGGGGGGACTCCATGCCATTATTTTTTTTTTTTTTTAATCCATCTCTTTCGCTCACTCTTCTCATGGTTTAACAAACTTTCCCAAAGGATGTGGAGTGCAAACCAGCATTATCCAATCAATCATTAGTCCAGACCTTTATCTAATCCCCTGGTTTGACATTCACATAAGGTGCTACTTTAAAGGTGTTTGAACAGACAAGGCCTCATTCTAATTCACATTCTAGGGATCATTTAAACAGAAAGCAAAGATGCTGCCACCAGCACATGTATGTTAGGGTAGTCAAACAGAGATCATGCAAATTCATTGCTGTGGTTGGAATGCAAACCAACAACCCTAGCATTGTGAGACAGCAGTGCTAACCACTAATCCACGGAGCTGTTGAACACTAAACCTGCCTGTATTTCTGTGGTGTGAATCAATCCTAGGTCCCTGGGCAAGGTCAGTGTAACTAGCCAGATATCTCAAATGCGACACAAATGTTGTGCTATGTTGCCAATTCAGATGTATGTTGGTTCTATGTTTTCCAATACAAAGTATTGCAATACTAATACAGGCGTACCTCGGTTAACGTAATTTTTGGTTTACGAATGAAAATCCATTGAAAATAATGCCTCGGTTTACACAATTGTTAATAATTTTTTTCGCAATACAAAGTGTATGTCGGCGCTGATTTTCAAATGCAAATGCCAGCCTTTTTTTTTTCTTCACTATAGTTCACAAGCTTAGAAGTCACTTTCCCCGAAGTTACAGAAAACTTTGTATCTTTAACCACTTGCCTACCAGGCACTTATACCCCCTTATTTACCAGGCCAATTTTCAGCTTTCGGCGCTGCCGCACTTTGATTGACAATTGCGCGGTCATGCAACATTGTACCCATATGAAATTTTGATCATTTTTTTCTCAGAAATAGAGCTTTCTTTTGGTGGTATTTAATCGCCACTGGGCGCTTTACTTTTTGCGCTATAAATAAAAAAGTTGCAAAAAATTTGAAAAAAAAGTTTCTTTGTTTCTATTATAAAATTTTTCAAACAGGTAATTTTTCTCCTTCACTGATGTGCGTTGATGAGGCAGCACTGATGGGCACTGATAGGCGGCACTGATGGGCACTGATAGGCGGCACTGATGGCACTGATAGGCAGCACTAAAGGGCACTGATAGGCAGTACTAATGAGGTGGCATGGATAGGCGGCACTGATAGACAGCACTAATGAGGTGTCACGGATAGGCGGCACTAATATGCAGCACTGATAGGCGGCACTGATAGGTGACACTGATGATGGGTACTGATAGACGGCACTGACTGGCATCACTGCTGGGCACTGACTGGCACAACCGCTGGGCACTGACTGGTGGCACTGACTGGCAGCACTGCTAGGCTGCACTGATGGGTGGCACTGGTGGGCAGCACTGGTGGGTGGGCACAGGTGGGTGGCACTGGTGGGCACAGGTGAGTGGCACTGGTGGGCACAGGTGGGTGGGCACAGGTGGGTGGCACTGCTGGGCACAGGTAGGTGGCACTTCTGGGCACAGGTGTGTGACACTGCAGAGTGGCACAGGTGGATGCACTGCTGGGCACAGGTGGGTGCACTGCTGGGCACAGGTGGGTGATCTGCTGGGCACAGGTGGGCGGAGTTAGTAGGCACACTGCTGGGCACAGGTGGGCGGAACTTGCGGGTGTCACTGCTGGGCACCGATCATCAGGGTACTGATCATCAGTGCCCTGATGATCGGTGCCGATCCTCGCTCTGACAACTGCCGGTTCTCGGCAGTACTTTCCTCACGATCTGACAGCGTGAGGAAAGTGCAGCCGAGAACCGGCACTTGCATTTCCCTCTGATCAGCGTGTCATTGGACACCGCTGATCACGTGGTAAAAGGGCGCTGTGATTGGCCTTTTACCACATCACGTGAGAAGCTGTGTCCGTAGAACACAGCGATCATGGAGATTGCCGGGTGCGCACCCAGAACTGGCCGGCCGCAGTGCAGCCGTCATTCGGCTATCTGCGGTCGGCTACTAGTTAAATAAACTCAAAATAAACATTGTTTCCTTTAGGGATATAAATTCCAAGAAAACTTTCTCTTTTAGCTGGGGGAAGTGAATTTCTGAGCTATAGTGAAGAAAAAAAAAAGGGAGAATTACATTTAAAAACCAGCACCATAATAAATAAAAAACGGCATGGGGTCCCCCCTCCCATCCACACCAAGCCCCGATTTTGCAGATCGGCCGATTTTAGCTGCAGTGGTCGGCAAATTGGCTGATCTTTTAACAGATAAAAAATCTGCACATGAGCCATGACCTGCAAGAAAAAGAAGAAAAAGAAGAAAAAAATGAAAAAGAAGAAAAAAAAAAGAAGAAAAAGATAAATGCCATAGATGGGGCGAAAACTGACCGTTTTTAAAAAAAAAGAAAATGAAAAATCGGTTGTTCAATGGGCCGACGTTACCACCAATGGTAAAAAAAAAATTGTCCGATTTTCGCCCCGTCTATGGCCGGCAAATATAATAGCAAAGCAATTACTTCTGTCCCTGCAGAGAGCTGCGCTATTATATTTGACATTAAAAAGTATAAAGGTTGCAACATTGTATCTATATGTATCCGAATAAAAACATCTATATCCGAAATGGATACAAATAGATACAATGTTGCAGTCTCTATACTTTTTAATGTCAAATATAATAGCGGAGCTCTCTGCAGGGACAGAAGGAATGTTTCAGCTGTCATCGGGGATTCCCACTGACAGCTGAATTTTAAATTATTTCTGTGAATTAAATAAATAATTAAAAAAACAGCGTGGGGTCCCCCCTCTCATCCATACCAACCAAGCCCTTCAGGTCTGGTATGGATATTAAGGGGAAACTCCATGCCGAAATTTAAAAAAAAAAAAACATACCAGGCCACATGCCCTGAACATGGTGGGTGCTTTGGGGCAGGGGGTGCTCCCCCCCCAAAGCACCTTGTCCCTATGTCGATGGGGACAAGGGCCTCTTCCCCACAACCCTGGCTGGCGGTTGTGGGGGTCTGCGGGTGGGGGGGCTTATCAGAATCTGGAAGCCCCCTTTAACAAGGGGGCCCCCAGATCTCGGCCACCCCCCCCCCACGTGAATGAGTCTGCGGTACTTGGTCCCATGACTCATTCACAAAAAAAAACAAAATGTGGTGTAAAAAAAACACAGTACAAGGTCTTTGACAAGTCCTTTATTAAAACAATGTCCCCCCGAAGTAGATCCAATGTCAATCACGGCGGCGGCGACCCGAAAAAAGAGAAAAAAAAAAAGTTCCATTCCCGTCGGAGGCTTTCAGCCGTCTGAAAAAAGGCTAGCTGACAGTTCTTAAATAGGTTAGGGGCGGGGCCAGCTGGGGACATCATCCCTGCCCCTTACCTATTTGAGAAATGTCACCCCGTCTCTCCACTGAGGCTAACTAACTGAATGCAGGAGACAGTCTGACAGTTCTTATATAGGTATGGGGTGGGGCCAGCCGGGAACAGCAAACGTGCATGGGGCGGGATCACTCGGATGATGTCCCCGGCTGGCCCCGCCCCATACCTATATAAGAACTGTCAGACTGTCTCCTGCATTCAGTTAGTTAGCCTCAGTGGAGAGACAGGGTGACATTTCTCAAATAGGTAAGGGGTGGGGATGATGTCCCCGGCTGGCCCCGCCCCTAACCTATTTAAGAACTGTCAGCTAGCCTTTTTTTCAGACAGCTGGAAGCCTCCGACGGGAACGGAACTTTTTTTCTTTTTTCAGGTCGCCGCCGCCGTGATTAACGTTGGATCTACTTCGGAGGACATTGTTTTAATAAAGGACTTGTCAAAGACCCTGTACTGTGTTTTTTTTTACACCACATTTTGTTTTTTTGTGAATGAGTCACGGGACCATGTATCGCAGACTCATTCACGTGGGGGGGGGCGGGATCTGGGGGCCCCCTTGTTAAAGGGGGCTTCCAGATTCTGATAAGCCACCCGCCCGCAGACCCCCACAACCATCGGCCAGGGTTGTGGGGAAGAGGCCCTTGTCCCCATCGACATGGGGACAAGGTGCTTTGGGGGGGAGCCCCCCTGCCCCAAAGCACCCCCCCATGTTGAGGGCATGTGGCCCGGTATGGTTCAGCAGGGGGGGGCGCTCGCTCGTCCCCCCCCTTTCCTGACCTGCTGGGCTGCATGCTCGGATAAGGGTCTAGTATGGATATTGAGGGGGGCCCACGCTGTTTTTTTTTTAAATTTCAGTGTGGAGTTCCCCCTTAATATCCATACCAGACCTGAAGGGCTTGGTATGGATGAGAGGGGGGACCCACACTGTTTTGTTTTTTTTTTTTTTTTATTGCGAACCTTTATTTTTACATTCAGCTGTCAAAATAAATATTATCTAGACCTTCGAAATAAGTAAAATCATTACAGAAATAATTATAAAGGATAAGAAACAAAAATGGAATCACTAGAACTAAGGAAATCTAGTTAGATTACATGAAGATATGCTTAGTGCTGTTTATTAAACACAGTAGACGCGACCGACGACCGAGTGCCGGCTGTCAGAGGAATCCACACTGAGATTTACTATTGGGCAGTGGCTAAAAAGCAAGCGCCTGCAGAGGACATCTAAAATGTGTTCTGCACATGCGCATTTATATCAGCCAAAGACACTGCACGGGCGTCTAGTTTTTTACTGTGTTGATTTGTTTGAAAAAAACTATTTTTAACACATTTTTAATTTTTTTTGAAATGGCAGATATTGTTTAAAGTGAAGTCCTGATATTTGGCAAAGCAAATTTCTAAGTGAACATGTCTCTGCAGTGATTTTTCATGGTGTTAGACGTGCCTCTTAGCAAGTCTGCTTTGTGAGTCTGAATCCGGGCGTGTGTCTCGTTAGTAAATTTGACTGGGCGTCTACTTATGGACGCTGCTCAATAGTAAATCTCGTTGCGGGGTAAAAGTAGACGGTCGCTCATAAAAAGTAGACGTTCGCCCACGGAAATGCGCCCAGGCACAATAGTAAATCAGGGCCAAAATGTTTGGGAAACCCCTTACTGATATTATAAACATGTTCCTTCATCCTTTTTGTCCGTCCTACATACTGTTACCCACACGGATAGGACAGGGCATAAACCACCCCCTCAGTATCACAAGAAATAAAATCATTAATACTATATTTCTTACATGTAACATGACCAATAAATTCATATCTTCTGCTATTATTTTCTACCCTAATGCAGATATAAAAGCGCCCACATGCAAAAAACCTTTTCCTTTTAATTAAAAAATTAAAAACCTGTTTTACAAGGTGGATTGACCACTTTATCTACCAATTTATCCCTTAATGTAGGGGCTTTTTTATATACAAATCTAGGGACATTATAAAGAATTTACTTTAAATGTCAATCTTGTTTAAGAATGGGCCAGTAATTCCTGCTAATACACTCCACTTGTTTGAATTGAACACTGTAGTCTAAAATAACTGATCCCCCTGTTCCGTCCTATCCACTTGCTTAACCCTATCCTTCAACAATACATCTCTATCAAGACCCCTAACTTTCTCCCTTTCTGTCTCTACAAACTCTTCTTTATATCCCTTCTCCTTAAATCTCTGGCTTAACATTTTGGATTCTTGTACATAATCCTCCTTGTTGTTACAATTCCTTTTAATCCTCATAAATTGGCCCCTTGGGACATTAACAAGTCAAGGCTTATAATGACAACTATTAGATAGAATATACAGTGGGGATCGAAAGTTTGGGCACCCCAGCTAAAAAGTTGTATTAATATGCATAAAGAAGCCAAGGAAAGATGGAAACATCTCCAAAAGGCATCAATTACAGATTAGACATTCTTATAATATGTCAACAAAAGTTAGATTTTATTTCCATCATTTACACTTTCAAAATAACAGAAAACAAAAAAAATGGCGTCTGCAAACGTTTGGGCACCCTGCAGAATTTATAGCATGCACTGCCCCCTTTGCAAAGCTGAGACCTGCCAGTGCCATGGATTGTTCTCAATCATCATCTGGGAAGACCAGGTGATGTCAAGCTCAAAGGTTTTAAATGCCCAGACTCATCTGACCTTGCCCCAACAATCAGCACCATGGGTTCTTCTAAGCAGTTGTCTAGAAAACTGAAACTGAAAATAGTTGACGCTCACAAAGCAGGAGAAGGCTATAAGAAGATAGCAAAGCGTTTTCAGATGTCAGTATCCTCTGTTCGGAATGTAATTAAGAAATGGCAGTCATCAGGAACAGTGGAAGTTAAAGCAAGATCTGGAAGACCAAGAAAAATATCAGACAGAACAGCTAGCAGGATTGTGAGAAAAACAATTCAAAACCCACGTTTGACTGCACGATCCCTCCAGAAAGGTCTGGCAGACACTGGAGTTGTGGTAAATTATTCCACTATAAAGAGATCCTTGTATAAATATGGTCTTCATGGAAGAGTCATCAGAAGAAAACCTCTTCTACGTCCTCACCACAAAAATCATCGTTTGAACTTTGCAAATGAACATATAGACAAGCCTGATGCATTTTGGAAACAAGTTCGGTCCGATGAGGTTAAAATTGAACTTTTTGGCCGGAATGAGCAAAGGTACACTTGGAGAAGAAGGGGCACAGAATTTAATGAAAAGAACCTCTGTCCAACTGTTAAGCATGGGGTTGTATCAATCATGCTTTGGGGTTGTGTTGCAGCCAGTGGCACAGGGAACATCTCACGAGTAGAAGGAAAAATGGATTCAATAAAGTTTCAGCAAATTTTGGATGGTAACTTGATGCCATCTGTGAAAAAGCTGAAGTTAAAGAGAGCATGGCTTCTACAAATGGATAATGATCCTAAACACACCT